CCCATCCCCCACCATGAGCTCGTCACCGCTGGCCAGCACTCGGCGGCGCTGCCGTCCAAGATTAAGGGGTCCCCGGCGAGGAGCCGGGCCAACATGCCTGGGCGGCCGCGCGCGATTAAAGTCCTGCGCGGTGTCGCGCCCTTGGGCCTTTGAGCGCGCGACGCAGCGGGTGAGTGACGCGGGATGCGGTGGGGGTGGTTGCCTTCCACGGCCTAGGAGGACTTAATTCGGGAAGGACAATTGGGTCGTCTGTGAACATCTAGTAGCTGGGTGAACCAGAGGACACGTTGGTGGAAATAAGGAAAGCGTTTAAGAAGGCCAGATTTTTATTTAGTCTTTTTGTCTCGCCCTCCAGTTAGGCTGGGTTTGAGCTCACTTTGTAGTCTAGGCTGGTCTCCAACTCGGAACGATCCTCTTGCCTCAGTCTACCGAGTGTTGGGATTACAGGCGTGTGCCACCACACCCGGCGCTGGATCTTACTTTGAGACTCGCTGTGCGGTCCGGGCTGGCCTTGTGCACACTTTCGTAGCCCCCAGACTCGGTCTCGAGCTTGCAGCGATCATCCTGTTTCCACCTCCCAAGTGCTGGGATTACAGGCGTGCGACACCGAGCCCGATTCCGAGACCAGATTTTAGAATCATCCTCTCTCCTGACCTTTAAAATGGTACAGTGCGGCATGCATGCCTGTAGCATTAGCTTTTTCGGAAGGTTGATCTACATTTTTATTATTTTATTGCGGAACTGGGGATTGAACTCAGGCCCTTGCACTTGCCAGGCAAGCGCTTATTCCACTGAGCCATCTCCCCTGCCCTTTTGGAATGTTGAGACAAGAGCTCCTGATCACTAACAAGTTAAAGGCTAGCCGGATTGTCAGGAAAAAAAAAAAAGAATTTGCAGGTAACACGGCAGAGTGCTTGCTTGTATGCGGGAGGCCCTAGGATAAAGCCCCAGTACTGCAAAACAAAAACGGAACTGTAAAGGTAACGCAGTAACACAGGCAAATGGTAATTTGTGGGGATCTTTGGGAGTTTAGGATGGCTGTTCCTTCTGTTCTGGGGTCTTTGGTAATAAGGTAGGATTTAGGTGAGTCAGTGGCTCAGCAGTTTGGCTTTGAGGTCTGGTGTCCTTAATTGTTTTGGCGGCCCTTATCGAAGCTGCAGCTACTTCTGTGTAGTTGCAGTCAAAAAGGAGCCCAGAGTAACAATTTTCCTTGACGGTCGCCGTTCTGTTTGCTGTAACTGATCTGCAACATTTTGGGGAAAGACAGTTCCACTGTGTGTCTGCCAGGAATCGCTGGCAGCTTTCCTAAAAAAAACTGGCATGTTTTGTGTAAAGCTGATACAGAAGTAACGAGCTGAGCCCAAGAACTGGTGTTCAGGGGCAGGTGGACACAGTATCGGAACCAAGCCCAGGCAGACCATTGTAGTTGAGGGCTTGGGGAAGGGTAATAAGATCCTGACAGTTGTTCTTATTACAGCCGTGCTAGATGGAAGACTATGGAGGTGACGGATGATACAAGCTCCAAGACCTGGTAGGTTGCTGTGGGCGCTTCTGGTAGCTGCCTGGTGGGACTGCAGCATGTTCCCAAGGGCTGTGGCTGTTATGGCCATGGGCTCTCCAACTGCATGCGAGAGCAACCTGGAGAGACTTTGACAGCTCAGGTCAACCCAATACCTGTGGCTGCCACTCACCTTTCCTATAAGGTAGCACCTGGGCTGGGGTCCAGGTCCCCATCTGCCTGCACTTGATAGGTGGTTCTGCTGATCAGCCTTGGTGTAGACTGGACCTTTCAAATTACGTTTGTTCTGTAGGTCTCCCCAGGTTTTCCTGGCAGCGGCTGATGCTAAAGAGAGCATTTATCGTTGGTGTTTACCTACGCTAAGGTAAGGCCCACATGGGAGACAGCCTGACCCTCCATCTCCCTTTCCCATCAGATCTGAACACTGGTCTTGGTGGTCGTAAAGGAGGAAAAGAAATGCTGAAGCTGGCCTCACATCCTTATAGTCTGGTATATAGCATGTGGGCTAGTTTCAAACAAGGTTGAATTCTTGAAGTATTTTCCTTATGCCCTATAAAATGGAGATAATCTAAGGGGCTTTTCGTTTTGGTTTTTGACTGGGTCTCACTGTAGTTCAGCTTGGCCATGAACCATGTAGCTCAGGATGATGCCCTCCCTGCTGAACCTGTCTTCAAAGTAAAGGGCTGGGATATAGGTGAGAAGGCCTTGGGTGCCACCAGTATCAGGGGAACCTAGATGGATGTCAAGCTGCTGATGGTTCATGTGTCAAGTGCTAGTGATTGTGTTTTGTGACGTGTCTCTCTTTTTTTCTTAATCTGAGCAAGCAGTAAACGTGTTTTTATCTGGTATACTTTTTCTTTTTAAGAGGCAAAGTCTTCCTTTAGACCAGGCAGCTTCCAGTTTGCCGTTCCCTGCCTCAGCTTTGACCCACCTGGTGTAATGACAACACCTAACATCATCTCAATACTGTCTAGTTTGG